CTGAACGACGGACTCGGAGAAGGGGTGTCCTTCAGAGCCCGTCTCCTGCTTTCTGTAGCTGTGGAGATCCTGGACACCACTTCACCTGAGATCATCAGCTCCACTGAGGTTCACGTGGAGTCTGTTTCCAACATCTCAGAGGTGAGATAGACCCGAGATGGTGGTGCTGTGTAGCTTTATGGTGTATTTGTGAAGCCACGCGTAACTGCTCAGCAGAGGAAACAAAGGCACTAGATTTGTTGCTTTAAGCTGTGTTGTTCATATTTCCCTCTGCTGAGAAAATCGTTTAACCCAACTTCAAACATCGTGAGAAAATGTTCTGGTTTGGGGTTCTGAACAGGATGCTAATAACTAACACTGAAGTTTAATGGCATAAGAATATCAACTTGAGTCTTCCAGGACTACATTAGCGAGATAAATTGGACTGGACTGGCCTTGCAGAGCTACCTAAAAAGCATAGTGATGAACAGCTGCAAATAATACTGTTTTTTTTTTAGTGTAATGATTAATATTTTTTTATATTTTTTAATAAGAACCACATGAATGGATAACAAGCAAAGGGCAGAAAATTGGAACATAAAATCAAAGTGCCTCAGCAAGTCAGAAGGGAGACATGCAGTTTTTATGTCTGTTGTAAATTGCAGCTGATTATCTGAATAGGATGCACTTTGCTCTAGTAAAATGTTTACTGTCTTTTTTACCCCCATCAGAGTGCTACAGGAAAAATAGAAGAGTTCTTCGTCTTTGGTTCCTTCCTGGAGGCCACCATGATCGACAGGAAGACTGGCGACAAACCGATCAGTTTTGAAATCACAATAGGTAAAAAATAAATTGAAAAATGTACTGATTTGTTGTGTTAATATTGACCTGAAAAGTCAATAGCTGCTGTAACTACTTGGATCAATCATTTAACAGGTAACTATGGTAACCAGATAGATGGCGTGAGCAAACCGTCATCAAAGAAGAAAAAGAAAGACGGAGAAAATGAAGAAGAGGAAAGTGAGCTGATCCAGAACTCCAGTGAGGATGAGGCGGATGAGGATGGAGACCTCGTATCAGTGTCCTCAACTCCTCCCATGAAGCCTGTCATCACTGACAGGTTAGGGGTGAAAGGTCACAGATCAGAAAACAATTTAATTATTTTGCTGTTATTAGATTTGTTTCAGTTAGCCAAAAAAATGTATGCCTTGCTCAGTAGCAAACTGTTATAGACTGTATCCTTTTTAGTAATATAATGAAATGTAACCAACAAGTATTGCCTGTAATAATTACAAGTTAGTTAACAGTCCTGTTCAATCATTACAGGAACTACTTCCATCTTCCCTACTTTGAAAAGAAGCCATGTATCTACATCAAGAGCTGGTGGCAGGACCAGAGAAGACGACTTTACAATTCCAATATGATGGATAAAATTGCAGACAAACTGGTTAGTGTACATCTTTATGGCACAAAATCATTCTAATAATCTGTAGCAGCCAAGCTAAACACTATTATGATGTTTAGTGGTGGTTAGCACCTTCGCTTCACACCAAGAAGATCCCGGGTTTGAATCCAGTCTGGAACCTTTCTGTGCGGAGTTTGTATGTTCTCCCTGTGTCTGTGTGATCTTCTCTTCCTCCCAAAGACAGTCCAAAGAGTCCAAAGACATCCACGGGGTCGTGTTAATTAGTGTTTCTAAACTTCTGTAGGTGTGAATGTGAGGGTAAATGATTGTCTGTCTGTCTTAGGGTTAGACTCCCCTGCGACCCTTATTTGTAGATAGAACATAAGATAGAACAAAACTATCTCCAAATTTGCAAAATTTCCAAAAAGTGCTCTCTTTGTCTGCAATTTTCACACTTTGTGAAGCCGTTGATTGAGTCAGATGTGACCCTAGGGTGACCAGTTGTGGTCCGCTGGTTTAAGATATTATTTGTTATAGATGTAATAGATGTTTTGAATGTGTGAATGTATAAGTAATAACAATTTGACTCGTCCTAAGTTTTGGAACTGTTTGTGTTTGGACAGGAAGAGGGTTTGAATGATGTTCAGGAGATTATTAAGACTGAGAAGGCATTTCCAGAGCGTAGACTCAGGGGAGTGCTGGAGGAGCTCAGCGTCGGCTGCAGGTGAGCTGCATAATAATGATCATTTCTCATGGTTGCATATCAAAGCTACATACAATTAGCATTCAAACAGCAAGAAAGACAAAAAGCTACCTCTGCTACCTTCATGATCACTCAGCTTTAAAGTAAATAGTTATTAAACATGTCATGGTAAAAGGAACCAGCATTGGTTTTTTTCTTTATGTTCTTTCAGTAGATTTCGAAACTATTTGAATTAATCAGGGTTCGTACGGGTGCTTGAAATCCTTGAAAATGCTTGAATTTTAATATTGTATTTTCAAGGTTTGAGAAGTGCTTGAATTTCAGATGTGCTGCTTAAAAGTGATTGAAAGCGTAATTGTATTTCATTCACCACAAATAACTATCTGATTGAAAAGTTTTCGTATCAGAGAAATAAAACGAGTCGCAAAATGTAAAAGCAAAATTTCTCCGCCTGGGCTGCCTTGCACCTCTGTCTGTTTCAATGTGTGACCCCGCCCCTCCCCCTGACAGTCAGGGATGAGTGCGCTAACATACCTAAAAGTTGCTGTTTTAATGAGTGTTTGATGGAAAATGACAATAGCGGAGTTTGCGCTCTCCAGACGCATAATAGGTGAGTCCTAGCAAATAATTTTCCAGTCCAAACTATTTTTTGGAGTTGCATAAATAATTTGTGCACCTTCTTATTTGATGCAGAACACCTGATTGTTCTGTAAATAGTTTTAAATGGTTATATAAAAAACCTCTGAGCCTTGGCTGCATTTTTAGGTAAATAGTACCATATAACTTTGTTGTTTGCAAAACTCGTGGATATTTTTTAAAAATGTACAATTTCTATTTGCATTTCAAGTTATGAAAATGATTCATTAAACATGTTTGTGGTTTTTACAGTCAAAAATATAACTTTTTTCTACTCGTATTTTAAATTTTGTCTGATTAGATAAATTGCGCTTATACAGTTTGTCAAAATGAGAAAAGAACTTGTTTCTGTGCTACCAAAGTTCCCCGGCTTTCATTCAAAATGTGTTTATCATCAGCACCTACACATAAACTACTTAAACGTTATAAATGGCTTCAAGCTCACACTGAGACCTGTGGGACACTATCAGCCACTGAGACAGTAGACACATTTATGTGTATATGAATATTTCATACTTTAAGGCCGCCTGTTTATTTAAGGGAGATGAACAAAATACATTAGAATTGTACATAATAATATTATAGATGACAGATTGAATAAATAGATTTTAAGTAGATGCTTCTGCATTTTTAAAGTCTTATATGTTGAATTGAACTATGTGATCTTTTCAAAGTCAGTGCTGTTCTCCATGCCTGTCTGACTGTACATGATGTTATTAGCACAAACACTTTAAAGCTGATCATTTAGGACTTCAACAATAATACAGACAGCAATGTAGTTAAACATCTTACAGTTAGTTTTATTGGGAATTAACTTAAAAAACAAATAATCAAACAGATGTCTCTCCTATTTTTTGTGTCATACAGGAAAGAAGCATCAATATCTGATGAGAAGACATTTCTTTTTTGTTTTGTTTTTTCAACAGGAAATGAATATCTTTAAAAAGTTGACTTGTTCACATTTTCACATCTTAATTTTTAAGTGAAATGTGTGCATATAAGGTGACCATTTGCAGTATTTTTGTGTGGTGCGTTTTTCTATGTCTTAACAAAAGGAGAACAAAGGTGTTGAAGTTCACCTAGGATGATTTGTTTTAATTTTCACATGATCTTACTGAGGTGATGTGAATTGAAACATGCATTCTTTTTTGGGGGGGCGGGGTAGTAAATGTGCTGGAAAAGCTTAAAAAGGGACCTTGAAAGTGCTTAAAAGGTGTTTCAATTTTACCGTGAAAAAGGCGTATGGACCCTGATTAATAAAACATTAATAGTTTAATAGCTCACCACTTGCACATATAATGACTGTAGAATCACAGAATACTGCAGAATATAATTTTATATACAGTGTTAAGCCTGTAAAGTGTGTGTGTGTTTTTTCTTTTGTTTCCAGTCGGTTTGTGTGTCTGGCTAACAAGGATGTGAACCAAGCAGGCAGAACCAAACTCGATCGAGAGAGACTCAAGTCCTGCATGAGAGAGATGGTATGATCCATGTTTCTGTGATGCCACGAATGATAGAGGGGAAGTTGAAGTTGTAGCTAATTAATTGCTAATCTCTTTGTAAACATTATGGACTTGATATTAAGGCCAAACAAGTAAATTAATTTCTGAAATACATTATCACTGCCTCATGATAATTGAGTGCAACACATCTTTGTACATTTGCAACATTACCAACACCATCACAGTCTCTCTGGTTCAGTGTTCGTATTTGGCTGTGACGCAACTTTTAATTCGTTTCAAGAGGAAATGCAACAAGAATTCAAAGTGTTCAGAAAGAAAACAGAGCCGTAAACAGTGGTTTAGAGGTGGAAGGAGAGGAGAGGGTTGTAGCGCGAATAGTTTCTCATATCCGATGCTTCTGAACACTGTGCACTTATATATATATTTACTTTTATTTATCATATTTTAAAAAATACCAAAGATGAATACAAACCTAAATTGTTTGTGGAAAAAAAACTGATGGCAATTCATACACTTTATGTTCAACTCAGTTCAGTTTTATTTGTATAGTGCTATTTTACAACAATATTCCCCACAAGGTGCTTTATAGTGTGAAGTAGAGATACTACAGTTTAAAAAAAAACAACAACAATTAGACTACGGCTTTTAGCAAGAAATGGCGATGGTGGGAAGGAAGAACTCTGTTTTGACAGGAAGAGACCTCCATGAGGGGCAGCCATGTGCTGCAACTTGCTTGGGAGTGAAGGGGAAAGAAAAGAGAATAGATAAATGAGCGCATACAGAGACCATGAATAGCAAAAATGATAAAACAAACTATGGGGAGAGAAGAAATCGTGACATTTAAATGCATCAGGTGTGAAAAGAGGGGAGTGGAGAAGTGCTCATGGGATGTCCCCCACTAGCCTGAACTTAAAGCAGCATAATAAGCATCACCTGATCCACCCTAAACTATAGTTAAACTATAGCCCAAACTGGTAGCTGCTTCCACATATGTATGTCTCTAAGGTGCTGTAACTCTTTACTGTACTGCACCAATAAAGCACCGTATGCCTCATTACCACTAATTATCTCTCCTCCTGCAGGACAGCATGGGCCAACAGGCTAAGCAGATTCGGACTCAGGTGAAGAAAAACACAGTCAGAGACAAACTCAAGCTGGTGCAGAACTTCCTGCAGAAGCTTCGCTTCCTTGCTGATGAGGTAGAGATGCAATCCCTCGTTGTGTGACCCTTGGACATTTAAAGTGTTAAGACATCATCGGGTATGGAACTAGAAATAATGAGAATGGTCCTCTGTCTTCACTGTCCAGCCTCAGCACAGCATCCCAGATGTTTTCATTTGGATGATGAACAACAACAAGCGCATTGCTTATGCACGAATACCTTCCAAAGACATCCTGTACTCCATAGTGGATGAGGAAACTGGCAAAGACTGTGGAAAAGTCAAAGCTGTATTCCTTAAGGTGCAGTAATCTCTCCCTACTCTCAGCTTGTTATATTAAAAGACACTTTTTATTTTCATGTTTAACTCTCACCACTGTGCCTGTGAAAGCTGCTTAATTGTCTAGACACAAATTACAGTATCGGTTGGTGTTAATGTGAATAGACTTGCAAATCTACTACGGCTACTTCACGTCTAGATTGGCCTATGCTGCGACGTTGTCTGAATAATGGTTAAAATAGTAATTTCAAAGTAAGGATCTATGCATGCATTCTTAATGTTAAGCTATACAAGTGACTAAGAAAACCAGCATGTTTTCATTTTTCGTAGTTACATTTTTTTGATTACTTGGTTTCTTGTTTCTCTTATCTGTCTCCGCAGCTTCCTGGTAAGAAGGGTTTTGGTCCTGCAGGCTGGACAGTTCAGGCTAAGCTGGAGTTATATCTATGGCTGGGCCTCAACAAGCAGAGGAAAGATTTTCTCTGTGGATTGCCAAATGGTTTTGAAGAGATTAAAGCCACTAAAACTGGCCCTGGTCTTCACTCGATGCCCCCCGTCGGCCTCGTCTATGACAGTAAGCACTATACACACAAAACATGACAAACTCTGGAACTTTTACACATCTGAGAAGCAGATATGGACTCATCATTTTTGTTAGTGCCAAATAATTAGGCAGGAAATACTCCCATCATAGAAAGTACCTGTAACTCTAACATGGATATTTTATCTTTTGAATACTTTGTCTTTTGTATTATAGTAAAGTCCTCTTTTTTTTAAATTTTCACTCCCCATAATTTGCTTAATTTCATATCGCCTGATTTGCCGTTAACGTTTAACTCTAAAATCAATTCTAGGCAAAACGCACACAAACAAAAAAGTCAGTCAGAAACAGACATTGATTTCAATTGATCGCCTTTACTTTGTGGCTCAATTTTCTAACCTCGGTCTAACATTGCTCACAAAGGGGATTGCATGTCAGTTAATGTGATGTGATATTTGTCTTTGTGTGCATCCAATAGTGAAGCAGGTGTTCCAGCTGAGAGCACACATGTACCAGGCTCGCAGTCTGTTTGCTGCTGATAGCAGTGGCCTTTCAGACCCCTTTGCGCGGGTCTTCTTTTCCACACACAGCCAGGTTACTGAGGTAAAATGAGTGCCCGCACATACAGAGACTGTGTTTGTGTTTATGCTGATTATGCATAACTAAACTTAGTATTTGTGTGTGTGTGTGTGTGTGTGCTGCAGGTTCTGAGTGAGACTCTTTGCCCTACTTGGGATCAGCTGCTGGTGTTTGATGATGTGGAGCTGTTTGGTGAGGCCAGTGAGCTGAGAGACGATCCTCCAATCATTGTGGTTGAAATCTACGATCAGGACACTGTGGTAGGATACTATTCTGCAAGAATGAGCGAATGGAAGGATGCTACATACTCAAACTGCATGCTAAAATGTTTTAAATGAGTTAGTGTGTGCTAATAAAGCTCTAAATGTGCTTTGCTTCTCCATCCCTTATGTTCTTAATGTCTGTCCACCCTTGTCTCACTCCACTCTGTCCTTCAACTAAACTCTGACCTCAATTATGTTGTGCTGGCTAAATAGAGTGACAGAGCATTGCTACTGTAATGTGTCAATGTATTCTAATTTTTCTAAAATAACTTTCTTAAAATTTGATCTCTTTTTTTCTCCAACTAGATTTAAAAAATCTTTGCAAAATGTGCATTTCTACTTCAGTGGCATCCTAAGACCTAGACCTCTCTTATTTGTTCAGATTGTACTGTAATAATCATTTGAGACACATATTTGTTTAATAAGAAGATTGAGATTTTTACTTTGAACCTTGAGCCATTTGGTGCCACACAGACTGCACTTCCCACTCCCATGTCTAACCCCGTATCCCCTTATTGCCTTGGCCGTCTGCTGTTACACATTGTGGTGTACAGGGTAAGGCAGAATTCATAGGTCGGACCTTTGCAAAGCCCACCATCAAGATGTGTGATGAGCATTATGCACCCCCGAGGTTCCCGCCACAGCTGGAGTACTTCCAGATTTACAGGGGGAACTGCACTGCCGGGGAGCTTCTGGCCGCTTTTGAGCTGCTGCAGGTAACACATGGAACAATGTCTGAATACACTCGTAAATATCTCTCTCCGTGTAAAAAATTATGTCTCACTCTTTAATTCTTTTCCTACTTTTCCTTTCTTAAATAGGCCTGTAAACTCTCTACATTATCACTATTTCTTGTATTTGACACTGACAAACCTTTTCTATTTACCCGTCTCTCCTCCCAATACAACCAATCCCATTTTCTCCTTTTATGTTTCTTTTCCAACTTATCCCTCCACTTCCCCTTTGAATCACCCTTCTTTTTCTTTAAAATATCGATTTTCTATGTCTTTCTTCTCCTGCTGCCTACAGATACCCTTTGATGCAGAGGAGATCAGGCGAGCTCTGATTGCTGTCCATAATTTTGCTGTTCCTCAGATAAAGGTTTTCTTTTCCTTCTCTCTTTTCAGCCAGATTTATCTTACTGTCTGGCAACAGTGTTTTCAATGTGGACAATAGATTGTGTTTTTTTTCTCTGCCAACAAGACATTAATAATTCCCTTTTTTAAACTTTCTTCTTAAAGTTGTTCTTTAAAGAGAAAAACTGCGTTAACTGAAGAACTTTGAGGGCTGTGGGTCGTAAAGCTGATAAAGTGCTCTCAGAAGGCTTCCAACTTGGTTTAGTTCCCTTCTCTCCCCCTAATTAGATTGGTCAAGGAGGCAGGGCTGACCTCCCCCCCCTTGAGGGGCCGACAGATTCAGAGCATGGACCCATCCTCCCTGTGCCGCTGGGCATCCGGCCAGTACTGAGTCGCTACCGCATAGAGGTGAATTTGAACTACTACTCTGGCTGTGTGTTCTGAGCTTTTTAAACCCCCCTTCCTTATCACATCCCAGTTGTTCTCTGGCTCAGGTTTTGTTCTGGGGATTAAGGGACCTGAAGAGAATCAACTTGGCTCAGGTGGATAGGCCCCGTGTGGACATAGAGTGTGCAGGCAGAGGCGTTCAATCTGCGCTCATCCAGAACTACAAGAAGAATCCCAATTTCAGCACCCTGGTCAAATGGTTTGAAGTGGTAAGTGCATCGATCATTTGATATTTAGACCCATTGAAAATGGTTGCTTAGATGTTAAATCGAAATCCTTGTAGAAAACATTACTCTTGACTAGAATTTTTTTTCTCCATTTTGATCATAGGACCTTCCAGAAAATGAGCTTCTCCATCCCCCTCTCAATATTCGGGTGGTGGACTGCCGAGCATTTGGCCGCTACATCCTGGTTGGGTCACATGCTGTGAGCAGCCTGAGACGTTTCATTTACAGCGCTCCAGACAAGACTTCCAACAACTGGGCGACCGCAGGTGCTGACCATCATGTGATGAATTAGTTAATAAGGGCTCTATTAGCTGTAACATGAGTGTGTGAGCCACCAGCTCTTTTTGTCAACACTGTGCAACACTGAGTACTAAATAACAGTGTAATATCTGCAGTAGCAGTTGGTAATAAAGGTTTTAAGTGAAACACATGAAATGCAGTCTTTCAGAAATGTCTTTTCTCCGTTTTTTGTTTCCTTTTTTCTAAAAAAAAGACTTGAAGAATGTGATCAAACATTTGAGATAATGTTTGTAAATCCTCTTAATATAGTCTGTTCTGTAATAACTTTACTGATTTCCTCACTTGCTTTCTGCTCTGACCACTTTTTTCCTGTCTACATCCTCCCTTTATCCCTTCTCTCCTCGCTCCTCTCTCGCATGTCCTTTCCTTCCACCCTCTGCTGCCTTTAACCTTCGCCTGCACACCAGCTAAGCTAATGAATGGCTACATGGTCCTGACCAATGGCGGACCCCAGCCCCGCTCCTCACCCAGCCTTTCCCCCCGCTCCTTCTCTCGCCCCGCAGGTGACATCGTTGTCAACATGGATGGAGATCCTCCAGTCCGAAAGATGGACACCGTCGTCAAGTTAGACGCAGTAAGCTTTTCATTAAGCTTGTGCACAGTGGATTTCTATAAACTGTATGTTTATATGGTGTATTTGTAGCTGGTGGTAGTAGAAGTCCTGCTTTATGTTCAGTCCTCTTTACCTGCCTCTGTACATGTGCCAGTCATACCTGCGCCATCCGCCGTGTGTATTAATCCTTGTGTTGTTTTATGTGACGCCCCCTACTGTAGACGTCTGATGCTGTTGTAAAAGTTGACATGGTGAGTAGTCCTCTTGCAGAAACGGAGCAATAAAAATACGTGCCACAGTCCGCTGGTGTGTCATTATAAATAAGAAGTCAATCTACTGAGGGTCAGTTTATGTCTGCCCTTCTTTTAAGATTGAGGAAGAAAGTGACAAAGACAAAAAGAAGAAAAAGAAGAAAAAGAAGGGAGGAATGGAGGAAGAGGATGAGCCAGATGAGAGTGTTCTGGACTGGTGGTCTAAATATTTTGCTTCCATAGAGACACTAAAGGAGGTTTGTCCCTTTGAATACAGTCAATTCTGTTTGCTTCTACATGTGTCCTACGGGACTTTTTCTCACAAGCACAATCCTATTAGACTGACAAATACTTCTCGCTTGGTTTTTCAGATCCTCAGAGCCCAGGAGGCAGCTCAGGCAGAGGCCGAGGAGAGAGAGGACATCGAGATAGCAGCTGAAACGGCAGGTATTGAACTCTATCAAATCAGCAATGCTGCCTGCCAGCATGCAGCTGTGGCTGAAGTCGAAGAGTCTGAATGCTAGGAAAAGGTGCTTTGATGCTTTCCTTTTTTATCTCCCTTGGAATAGGGCCATGCTAAATGAAACAGAAGAAGATGTCGTCATGTAGTTTATCTCACAGAATTCAAATTTCAGTCCACTTTTGTAACTGGTAGCGTCACTTTATCTTTTTTTAATTTCATTTACACTTTTGGTAATGAAGTGTTAATTTTCACAGGGTTGTCAACATTTACATGACCACAATGTCGCTAATATTGAATGTTAGGCTGTGGTTTTGCAAACATGGACCTACTATATCCCTGACTGTTTTCGGTTCCTTGAACTATTATGTAGTAGCATGAGAGGCATCATATGTGTTTGTTGCTCTTCCTCTCTTTCGTCCCATGAATCCATCATTCATTTGTGCAGAGCTGAACATCATAATCATTTTTCACATTAGCATGACCTCCCAGCTATGCAGTACAGATGAAAGCTGGAGGAGAAAGGTCTGCTTTATTAATCATCAGAAATAAAATTATTAAATACTTTTTATTGCATAAAATGATTTACTGAAACTGCAATAAAAATCAGGCGCTAGGCGAGTCGTATGAAGAAAAATCATTTTTAAGTTCACAGTTACAATTTTACTATTCTTTGTACAAGTAAAATGCAGTTCGTGTTGTAATCTGTTCTCAAAATAAAGTTTGTCAATATGTGACTGTCACTCTTCTCGATCAACATTCTTTTTTCAGAGAATGTCAAAGGATAATAAATAAAATCTCCACAAACTTGGAAATTTAGTCCCCTGATAAAGACCTATCAGCTTTCATGTTATATAATGTGTAGTGGTGCATGCGACCCTGCCACCTATGTCTTCATGTCTTCATCCCGTATGTCTGTCTTCACCTCCATTCATGGTTTCAATCAGATGTCAAACCCGATGAACTTCTTCTGAAAGGCTCCAAGACGAAGGAAAGGGGTAAAGAGAAGAAGAACTCTAAGGACAAGAGGAAGGGTCAGGCTGCAGATGGCTCCGAGAGGCGACCAGTGAAAGCAAAAGTGGACGAGCTAGTGGTGAATGTGCCATTAACAGTCATACAAAAGCTAGCCAGCACACGTTAATGTCCCTGCACACTTAAAGTTTTTGTGTTTGCCGGTTTATTTCAGGTGTACAACAAGGAGCTTGAGAGTGAATATGGCAACTTTGAAGACTGGCTTCACACGTTCAACCTGTACAGAGGAAAGGCTGGGGATGACGACGAACACGCTCTGGATGATGACAGGATTGTTGGTAGATTCAAGGTGGGAAAACACTGTCTAAGAACTGTTACTTGTCAGACTACACTAACAGAAAATACAACATATAAATATAATTTTTTTTCATCAATCAGGGATCCTTGTGTATATATAAGTTACCTGTATCTGAAGAGATCACAAGAGAAGCAGGATTTGATCCCAACATGGGGATGTTCCAGAGCATCCCGCACAACGATCCTGTCAACGTCCTCGTTCGTGTCTATGTGGTCAGGGTAGGTGGCCTTCTTTATGTCTAAATCTGTGCCACAGTCATAAAAACTAAGTGTATGAAAATAAAATGAATACTTTTTCTCTCTTCTCTTTGTTTTCCAGGCTACAGACCTCCATCCTGCTGATATAAATGGGAAAGCTGACCCATACGTTGTCATTAAGCTGGGCAAATCAGAGGTCAAGGACAAAGAGAACTATATCTCCAAACAGCTCAATCCAGTATTTGGAAAGTAAGTCGAGAGAAATTATGAATCACTTTGTCGTTGAATGATGGAGGTGTAATAACAAAAAAAAAAAAGTTGTTGCTGCTCATCAAATTCTTGATGAGCATATATTTTTCAAAAAGTTTTACTTGTACTTTTTTAACTAAACAATGGCTGTAAATTATTTTCATGTCCTTGTATTGTGCATTTATTTCCATTCCATTGTTTAGACAGTGACCCAACTTTGTGTCAGGATCTATTGCACCTTTTGAACTATTCACATTACCCTCCACTTCCTGTCCTCAGATCATTTGACATCGAGGCCACCTTTCCCATGGAGTCTATGCTGACGGTGTCTGTGTATGACTGGGATCTGGTCGGCACAGATGACCTGATTGGTGAGACAAAGATTGACTTGGAGAACCGTTTCTACAGTAAATTCAGAGTCACCTGTGGCATTTCCTCCAGCTACTCTGTGTGAGTGTAAATCTATTTTATCCTGCTTGGGTTGTTGTTTAAGTTGTAATGCCACAATATGAAACTTAACATTTGTTTTAAGTACTTTTTTGAAATGTGGAATTCTTAGCTTAATAATAGTATAAACAAACAACTGAATTATTAAAAGTTTCCTTGGTTTGACTGCATTTGGTTTGCAGTTAAGTAGCACTTATAATATGGCTCAGTAAGAACATGATTATAGAGGGGTAACAACAGTCACTGCCTCTTTGTTGGTTAATGGTTAATATCGAGCTATTGCTTGATATTTTTAACTGGGTAATATTAGACTGTAAATAAAATTATGGGGTAATAATGTTGAAACAAATGAAAAAATAGGATAACCTTGTAAAGTAATATAGGTTGATGTTTTCATATATTAGGACACCATTTCAAAATTATAATGGTGAAATTAGTTCTGTTGTATGTCCTAAAATTCTCCAAGGTAACATAATTATAAAATTTGATGCTGTTGCTTGTTACCTGGAAAACCTTTGCTGTAGTTTCTGTGTAATAACCATGAATCTGGTCTCCAAAATATAATACTACCTGTTTCTATGTAATTTCATAGTAAGAATAAAGTCAACCAAAATGCCCAGAGGTATAATAATTATCTGGGAAAAAAAAGTTTCTGTGTAATAACCATGAATCAGCCATTTTTTCTAAGCGATTTCTCTATATTGCAGCCAATAATATTTCCTACAAAAACCAAGGACCAGGAAAATACATATGCAAAACCTTTCAATGACTTACATGCTCTCTCTGTGGTATTTCTTGGTGTTAGCCATGGATATAATTCTTGGCGGGACCCTATGAAGCCCAGCCAGATCCTGGCTAAACTCTGTAAGGATGGCAAGATCGATGGACCTCATTATGGGCCAGGAGGCAAAGTCAAGGTGGCTAATCGAATCTTTACAGCACCGACAGAGATTGAGGATGAAAACGGTATTGTTATATTTTTCCTCGTGATCCTGATTAATCTTCTTTTGTCATTTTTCTATATCTCATTTATATTCCTTACATATCCATTTACACTAAGTTGGTTTTACAGAGATTTTCACATTTTCAGATTTGTTTACATTAAGATTAAGGTGAGGTGAAATACGATTTATTCCGACTTAAGCTTTTCTTGCTTTCCTCGTTGCTTACTATTATTCTATTAGGTCTAAAGAAGCAGACTGAGGAGCATTTGGCCCTCACGGTGCTGAATCACTGGGAGGAAATCCCAAGAGTTGGCTGCAAGCTCGTCCCTGAGCATGTGGAGACCCGACCCTTGCTGAACCCAGACAAACCCGGTATTGAACAGGTAGGAAAGGACTGCGTTGCTAAGACACCCAAAATGTATCTGATTGGAAATTAGAGCAGATTCTTTTTTATTTCCTCAAAGGGCCGCATTGAGATGTGGGTGGACATGTTCCCTATGGATATGCCTGCTCCTGGACCTGCAATTGACATTTCTCCAAGAAAACCAAAGAGGTACATCCTGACTGGAGCAATAAGATGACTGTCACTTTGAAAATATTCTATGTTAATACAAAGCTATGAACTGAATATAAATATTTATTCATTGCTCTTCTCAACAGAAAGCTTTTTTTTTTCAAGAACAAAATGTAGTTTTATCCCCTGGTTAAATTATGGTGAGTCTGTTTGACTAGTTAGCTCTAAAAATGTCAAATATAAGTCCAACTATGTGTGTTCCTTCCTCCCCCTCGCTTACCAGATATGAGCTCAGGGTGATTATTTGGAATACAGACGAAGTAATACTGGAGGACGATGATTACTTCACTGGGGAAAAGTCCAGTGACATATTTGTCAGGGGGTAGGTACAGCGGGATGGGGCAGCCAACCCTCATCCCGTGGGTGTGAGCTGTGTGTGATTTGTTTTGCAGTTAACCATTACCTTTTTTTTGTTTTGTTTTGTTTCCATTTTTCTGTGTGCGTGTTTGTGTCGTGTGTTGCGTCTCTGTGTTCGTGGCGTGTCTCCTGTCTGTCGTCCTCTCTCTCTTTCTCTGGTCAATACTCTGCTGATGTCTAGCTTTGAGCTTCGTGTTATAATTTGGAACACTGATGACGTAATTCTAGAGGACGATGCATTCATGACAGGAGAGAAGATGTCTGACATCTATGTCAGGGGGTAAACACACGAATCCATTGCATGGCTCGTAACAACAAAATACCCTGATTTACTCCTTCTGAAGCCCTTGAATCCTTTTTTTTATGACCCTCCCATTTCTCTAACTCTGCATAGCACGCAACCTCGCTTGTCTCAAACACCCCTGTCAGCACGAAAATAAATGCATATGGAAAAACTTGCACAGAAAGGACCAAACCACATGAACAACACGTAACAGCATATAATACAAACAAATTAATGTGCCAATGCACTCACCCCCAGCCAATCCCAACAGACCCCTCCCTGAGCTTGCTTCAATCAGATGTTTCTTACTGTTGAAAGGGGGTTTTCCTCTCCACTGTCACCAAAGCACTTCCTAATGGGGGGGTCATGTGATTGTTGGGGTTTTCTCTGTTTTTTCTGTATTATTGTAGGATCTTTACCTTACAAAGGCACATTGAGGCAAATGTTGTTGTGATTTGGTGCTATATAAAGAAGATAAAATTGAATTGAATTGAACCAGTATAATCACTACTTTTAGACAATTTCGACCGACTGCAAAGATATGTCATGTGTTGACATAAAAAACTGTGGTACAAAATTCAAAATGCTTTAATCATGAATAACTAGGACTAACTTATGTTGTTCATGAACCTTCAGTTAAGGTAACACTGAGCAACAATTCCTATAATGCCAACTCACAAGACTCACATCCTATTGACAAGTCAAGGCTTGCTAATAAAGTTGTTTTACCCTACGTACAGTTATTGGTCTCTGGTGAAATAACTTTTTTTCAAAATGCTAAAGAATTGATATTAGTTTCCAGGTAAAAATAATAATAATAATAATAACAGTATAGTTTTGTTCAATTTTTTATTTAATGCAACCAATGCATATGGCAAATAAGACGGGCCTTTTTTTTTGTTTTTTTTTTTTTTTTGTTTTTTTTTTTTACAACGAGGCATTTGAGGTTTTCTCTGTGTGGTTTGGTCCTGCAGTAAATTACAAATATTAATTTAAAAGATATTTACGGTCATGGAAAAAAAACTTCAGCATGGAAGTGTACTGCACACAAGTATACAGGTGTTCCTGATAAACTGCTTGGTGACTGTCTGCATGCTTGTACGATCGAACTCTTGTCTTTAAAAGTGACATTGTCTTTTGCAGCCTAGATTAGATGTTTTTTCATTTCATTTATGTTATTATGTTTTAGTGACTCCTCTTTCTTTACACTTTATGTGTCCCCTCAGGACTGTAGCAAACAGGGTGTCATTCTTAAACAACCCTAACAGTAAAGGATTAGGTTAACCTTCAGTTTGCACTCTAGATTTCAGTAGCAAACGTTTCAGGACAGACTGGAGAACTGTGGTTGTTTCAGATGGATCTAGTGTTGTGATACAGTAATAATGAATCACTTTTTGGGTCACGTGAATTTGGCATGTTTTCTTCCCTTTAAAATTTGCCCTCTCCCTGGAGCCTTTATCTCAGTCTAATTTATGCATCTCGATTACCATATCAGCACTTTGTGATATTCAGTATTTATCTGTTTTAAACTGACAAATACCTTTTGTCAGATCTTTTTTTATTTATTATTTCCTTTTTATTCCTTTTAGAATTTTCTTTTTCTTTTTTCGAGGGGTGTATTTTGAGAACTGAGAGTGCACCTTCCCTCTTGCTCCTTCTGACTTAAAGTCAACCTCACTTACAGTAACTGTTAATGAAACAGCTGCAGCTGACCATCAATGCCAGGCATCAGTCCTCCATTGGCAATTTGCAGTTTTAAATATGAAGCTTTTTTCATAAATCTGCAAGTTTTCTGTGTCCATAAAACATGGAGATTTCATAAATCTGCAAGTTTTATGGATGCATGGCTTTCTAAATAGTGCGAAACTCCAGCATCAAATCAGATTTTTATGGATTACTCAATAATGATTTTAAAGTTATCACATGTATGAAGCTGATTTGCTTTTGGGGAGCCGCATTATGTGCATTGATTCTGACCTTCTAGCATCATCTCTCTTGTTAGCTAAATAATACATTTAACAGACCCTTTGCTCTTGTTTAAATCACTAAATTGATATCACGTAAATTTGTACATGTTGGACTTTAGAAGTGCATGGCTGACAAATCCAAAAACATCTACTTATGACACCAAACCATGATCCTGGAGATCAGACTAACTCTCACCCTTATGACCATTTACACAGATGGCTGAAAGGGCAGCAGGAGGACAAACAGGACACAGATGTGCACTATCACTCACTGACCGGTGAGGGGAACTTTAACTGGCGCTTCGTCTTCCCTTTTGATTATCTCATGGCTGAGGAGAAGATTGTCATCTCTAAGAAGGAGTCCATGTTTTCCTGGGATGAGACCGAATACAAAATCCCTCCTCGTCTCACACTGCAGGTCTGGGATGCAGACCACTTCTCTGCTGATGATTTCCTGGGTGAGGACGAAATAATTTTTTTTTTGCAATCCTTTCATCTGACATGGACTACAGGGACAAAAGTACTGGGCCACTTACACATTTAACTTACAGGAGCTACTCAGTCAAGGATACCCATGGCATGAAGCTCGTGGCACACAGTTTTTGTGCTGATGTTAATGCCAGATGAGGTTTGGAGCTCTGTAGCCTTTGAGCCAGCAGAGCATTGGCAACTTTTATGTGCTTCAGCTCTCCGCTGCCAATTTGCAATAATACTGCTTACAGTTGCCTGTGGAACATCCAGGAGGGAAGAAATTGCACAAACTGACTTGTTGCACTGTTGGTATGCCAGTCTAGTACCATACTTGCAGTCACTGAGCTCTTTAGAATAACAAATGTTTGTACAGATAGACTACAGGTAGGCATTTGCTTTTATCAGGGTTACTAAATTACGTCTAATAGACTTCTAATAGAAGGAGCACTGACAGTAACTACAATCTCACAAATGCTCATGTAGTTCTGCTGTAGTTTCAGCCAGCCATACTCTTAGCTGCTTATCCAGTTCAGTGTCTTGGAGAGCCTATCCTAGTTGTCAGAGGGCAAGAGGAGGAGGACAGGTCAACAATCCATCACAGGCCCAATACAGAGAGAGAGAGAGAAAGAACTGTCCACACTCACACTGACACCTACGGTTAATTTAAAATCGCCAATGAACCTAACATGCATGTCTCTGGACTTGGAGAGAAAGCCAGGGTACCCAGAGAGAACTCATGCAGGCACAGGAGGAACAAAGGAGCAGTTAGTTTGATATAAATGCATTTTATGGATGACTTTCTTTGTAGCTGTTTGTTTTCAGCTAAGTCATCCTTTTCTTAACATCCTCAGTGTATAAAAAAAGAGTACTGGCTATTCCAAATTGACTTATTTTGCTTTCACCATTCCCAGGTGCAATCGAGCTGGACCTAAACCGTTTTCCTCGGGGCGCAAAGACAGCCAAGCAGTGCACTCTTGACATGATTCGAAATGAGCAGGATCTGCCAACCATTTCGATCTTTAAACAAAAGAGGGTTAAAGGATGGTGGCCATTCGTAGCCCGTAATGAGAATGATGAAATGGAGCTCACGGTAAGACAGTCAAGAGTGAAAATGAGCAAAATCATGACTGGTTTATTATGATTCTTATGATAATACTTATAATACTTAGAAAGACATTTTCAAGGTAGTAA